GATCTAAAGAGTGTCCTTAAAAATTGAAGTACACTGCTTGGTATTTGTCTCTCAGATTCTTGGTTGTTTTGGGATCCACTAGCTGCCAGAATATTGATATTTACAACACGAGAATTTGATGGTTCTTGTCTCGTGCTTGGAGTTGATGAGGATCCTACAACAGGGTCCGATGACAAACTAAATCAGATCAAATGTCCTGAAGATACCCTTACAGTATATAGATGGACTATATAAGCAACCAATAAGTGCTCACAGTCACAGGGATGGAAGCACGGAATTACAAAGAAAGAAACAAGTTGAACTAAAGAATAAAGACATGTGCAATTATAAAAGTAAACATTTCTAAAAGATATTGACTTCAATAAAATGTTTCAGAAGTATGATCAATCGATCATAATAATTATCTGGAAGCTACCTTCATCAGACAATTCATAGCCATCAAAAACGGCATCAATGTATAACCATAACTAAGGATCCACTGAATTGCTGGAAAACATAACTAAGGATCATCTATCTTAGGGAAATAAATGGAACATTGCTATCAACAGTTTGGGAAAGAATAATTTAGCACTTGCTGTTGAAACTTGAGATGTTACCTTCAAAATGCCTTCTACCGTATGTGATCCTTGATATCATAATGCTAATGAGTGTAATATTGTTCTTCAAATAAAAAATAGACTGAAGTCCAGTTTTTCTTATTACTATTTTACCTATATTGTTTCTTTCCAGCTTACTTTATTAACAATGAATAAACTAGTATTCTTTGAGAAATAATTATCAATGTATAACCATTGAACTGAAACAAATTGTATAGAGCAGACAACTCTCAAATTTCCAATACAGGAGCGAAGAATATAACACCAGATTGCATAGCGCTATTTCAATCAAAAGCAATAAGCACCCAATATTTGAAAAAATTATGAAAAGGTAATTTTTTATCACATACTAGGCACATCACCAAGGAAAAAATAAATAAATATCATACTGGAAACTTCAAGTAACAGGAAGCAATCATTGATTTCAGATGTTGAGAGACATTTATTAAATTACCATTCCTCGCAGAATCATCCGTGTTTTGCCTTTGCAACATGGATTCAGGAGTTGACAGTACCGCAGCACGCTGTTGACTTGATTGTTGAGCTACCTGTTCACTATTTGCATGGCCAGAAGATACATGTTGAAATCTCCCAAGAATTGGATAGTAAAGCCCTATAGAATTACCAGATGATTCTGAAGGTGGGCGCCCTAAGGGGCCTGGTACTGCTGCAACCATGGTTCTAATTGGCACTAACCTTACTCCTGACTCCCCAGCAATAGATGAATCTGGACGCCTAGAGATAGCCTGATTAACAGAACTTTCACCTGGATTTCTTTGTACTGAAGCTGATTGTATATCATTACGTTCTTCTTGATTGGTATTGGATGAGGTTGTTGAGGTACCTAAAAATAGAAATGAAATTAAATATAAGAACACTGTGCAAAATAGGACCTAGGAAAAAAAATAATTCTGATGTACCTCGCCGTATCTGTATATCTATACGCCTTGGGAAATAGCTTGAGCCAAGTCCACTACCTAAAGTTGAGTTAGACTGCGCAGCTCCCACCGGGACAGCACCAAAGCTTGCTCCAGGTTGAAAAGGAAGGGGCTGAAACCATGCAGCTCAATAAGTAGTAGCAGTATAATTGTCGTGATAAGGAAGATAAAAGGACAAGAACAAACCTGAACCATGATATGGTTAGGACCATTTGGGGATATAAAAACTGCAGGCCCACCATTAACTACAGCTTCAGACTGCACAGGAATGAAGTTAGTAGCACAAAAATAACAATTAACTAACAAGATGCCTACAGTGGGAGATCAAGCCTACCGGTGTTTGACCCAAACGCAGGGTCATGGTTGTGCGACCAAGCTCAAGTAAAAATGCACCAAGGTTATAAAACAAAACTCCAGTTCTCATAGCCCTTGACTGAATGCTTGACCGCACCAAGGGATCAGTCACATCTGCTTGATTCTCCAGCTGTCTTGATAGTTGCTGTGGAAATATTTAATGGGCATGGCAAGTTTATATGTTTAGCATAATAAAGGAAATGACTATGTAGCTCAAAATACCTACTTGCAAAATGAATGCAGAAAACAGAAAGAATAAACACTTCCTTCAAATTTTGAATCATTTCAAATACAGAAGAAAAATCTAAGGAGACGTTTTAGAACGCACAAGTAGACACTGGTCAGCTTGTTCAGTGATCATTCGTCTGGTAGAAAGTAAAACTTCTGCCAAGGATGTGGGTGATGAAAGCCCTTCTGTAGTTGAACCTGAACGTAAAGAAACAGATCCAATTTCTTCATTCCTTCGAGACTCGCCTGCTTGGGCATTATCCCCCCCTTCTCTGACTGCCAGTAAAATGTGTTCCATGTCATTCTCAAAGAACAAGCATGCAGCAGACGCTAACAGAGGATAACTAAAAAAATTCAACATGGCATGCTTACCAATTGCATCAAATTCATGGCTTATATGACTTAAGTATTGGGACAAAGTTGTCAAAGAATCAGGAATGACCTACAAAACCATATACAAAAATTTAAATTGTTAAATTTCTACTCAGCAAGAGAGGAAGAGACTCAAATGTCAAATCTAAAAGAATATGTACATATTAATGAAGTGTATAAGGAACTTAACACATACAGGAGGCTGCAAAGACCCTAGAGATACTGGTGCTGGAGGTCCAAAAGTATTACGCGATCTATCAGACAAAATCCGCAAACCAGATTGTTCGGGCTGAGGATGAGATGAAACTAATATTCCACTAGAACCTGAAGTTCTTCCAGAGCCTTGGGAATCATGCTCCTTCATCCAATCCAAAATGCCAGATATCATGTTATAGAGTTTCAGATGAATAAACACTTAAAGAGACATGCATTACCAGCTTTTTTTAGTCACATGTCATAACTTTGTTATAGCACCACAATACCCAAAAGAAAAAGAACTAGTATATAGAAAGCCGAATTTACCCTGACATCAATCCCTTCACCACCACTGGCAAAATTTGGAAGTCCAAAGGATCCTAGAACAGCAGAAACTATCTGCACAGTTATAAGATAAAAAAAATAAGTTTCATGTGCAAAATAACCCCTCAAAGTGACCCCATCTCTTCAGATTTTGAATATACCCTATTGATTTCAGGATGAACTCCATCACCCTGCACAGGCACATTGAAAGTTTCAATAAAAACACCAGGGGCTACTTGAGTACTGTGACCATGGCTTGTGCTTGAATTTGGTTCAGACACTACAAAATGGAGGTACGCATGGAGGTCAGTAAATACCTTATCTCTGTGTTAAGGGGAAAGTTTCAATTGGTTGAGCATGGAGGTCAGGAGGTAAACCACAACAAGACAAGATCAACTAGAAAATACCTCTGCTCCTCACCCCTTCAAAAAATTTATAACAATAACAATTTTACTGGTGCCCATGTGGAAAATTATCAAATATGAAGACAACTTACTTGATTTTTTTCTTTTACCAAGTAGCCATCCTCCTAAGGGATATTTTCCAACACAAAATCAGCTAGAAGTTTAGTGGAACTAAACTAATTATCTAATCTTACTAATTCTTGCAGGTGACTGATTCAGAGGCAGTCTGCACTAAGAATGTGTACTTAGATTATCTTACCTGATTCTCCAGGCATAACATTAAAACTTGCAAACCTACTTTGTGAGCAAGTTTAATATAATTCACGTTTTCCCCAAGCATGCTTTTATAAGCATAAAATGGAACGGCACTAAAGAGCTTCAAACTAAGAATATCATCTTTGAAAAATAATACCAAGTGAGGCTACAAACGAACCAAAAATAACATGGACCATTTCTTATATTTCACCAAATATATACATAAAAAGAAACTATCAAAACATTTGCTACAAAAAGAAATACGAAACCTACATTTTAGAAACAATAACACATAACTTTCACAATAATTACAATAGCAAACGATAATGTGCATAATCACATCAAACCTGAATGATTGAGCACACTTCCTGGTGGTGGTAAATCAGGTTGCCTCACAACCAGATGCAAGGTGTGACCATCTTCAACATCTACTTGTGTTAGGGAGGAAATCCATGTTGAAGATAGGATATGAAAAAATATGGAGATAGTTACAAGAAGGCAAAAATACATTTTTCGTCCCTTATATTATTTATTAGTGTCAATTTAGTCTCACTTTAATTAATTAAATCAATTTAGTCTCACATCTTTAAAATATATCTCAATGTTTGACCTTCCATTTCCTCCGTTTAAATACTTAACAGATCTGACAAATGTCATGACAAATGTCATGACACATGTCATGCTACCATGTCACGTGTCATGTCATTATGCCACGTGTCATGTCATCATGCCACATGTCATGTCATGTGTCATGTCATGTGTCATGATGTCATGACATGTGACATGACACGTGTCACATCCGTTAAGTATTTAAAGGAAAGAAACAGAAGGTCAAACATTGAAATACATTTTAAAGATGTAAGACTAAATTGATTCAATTAATTAAAGTGAAACTAAATTGACACTAATAAAAAATATAAGGGACGAAAAGTATATTTTTGCCTTACAAGAATCATGTACAATTGCTAAAACAAATCATGGCTTTTGAGTGCAATCAAATTTTAAGCTTAATTATTAATATCATCGACAAGAATGCTTAATTGTTTCATTCATATTCATAAAATTAATTAATGAGATTCAATATTGACATATTTGGCAAACCAAAAACAAACTATAACATGAATATATATTCTAACTTCCATATAATTTTTTGTAAAGGTTCAAGCAACATTCTACAAAACCCAAAATTCACCACTCAACAGAAATTTTAATGTTATGGCTATTGTGTCCCCTCTATCAATCTGTTTTCTTATGTGTTGGAGCATTTTGCCTCAAAATCTAAACTCGAGATAAAAGTCTCATGACAAAACAGATGATCATACTATAATAAATTTTATCAAAGTGGAATAAAAAATTACTACAAAAGCTAAAGATGAGCACAATGCCAGACAAAAAATAAAGAAACACAAAGTCTAAAGGAAACACCAAATTACTTCAGATTGTTTTGCATTATGGTAACTATTCCAAACTCCAAATCTTTTCTTCATAACTATTAACTACTTAATGGGCAAGATGGCATCTCTGTCAATCTATTGCCATGAAAATGCCACATTGGCTTCCTTTGTGAGTCCTTCCTGAACACAAAGTAAAAATACAGAGACAGGATACGATAGGCAGACAGGAGCTGATCATCCTTTAGAACTTTCCCTTGGCAAATTAAGCGTTGTCGTTCAGATAGCACTCCAGTTACAGAAGCAATCTGTTCTTTCAGAGCAGGGACTGGCATCTGCAGAACAGGGGAAATTGTTGTAGGAAAGGACAATCAGATAATCTTTTGAGCAAGTTGTTGGGAAACTCAAAGTGGTCAGCCTTATGATCAAAATACCTTAAACAGTGTTTCAGTTAAACATCAAAAATATTGGGATGTGCAGGAAAAAAGGGCTTTTAACAACATTTTTATTAGGAACTTCTTCAGAATCTACTCTTTCTAGCTTCAGCAATTATTTTTTAGTTTTTTGCCTTTTTTAAAAAAAACCTATTTATTTATTAAAAAAATTCAATTTTTTAATGAAGATTTTTTTTTCTTTTGAAAAAAAAAAAGAACACTTAATTTTTGACCAGTTTGCATGTTTCTACAGGAAGGCAGTGCAAGCAAACTTATACATACAGAAACAAAAATAGACTTCTCAAGAAATTCAAAAAAAACAAGTGCAGAAAAATTATAAGTAATCAAGGAATTACCTGTTTATCCACTCTGAGGGTGTAAGTTTGAGAATCTAATGTTTTAATCTTTATCTCAATTGTGGTTTCTGAACTTTCAGCATTGTTAATGTTAGGGATCTTTTCGGCACCATTAATTCCCATTCTCCACGTACCACGTAATACCCTATAAAAATGAGAAGAAGAAAAAAAATACCAGAAACTGTTAAGAGGTTTGTCAATATTTCATTTTCTTCCGTGATATGAGATTATTGAGCAAATTGTGAGAAACCAATTAAACGATATAAAAAATAAAGAAACATATGCATGCTGCCATATTTGGAAAAGTAAAAAACAATAAATGCTACAGCTTGTTTGCAAAATGTCAATCTCATTATAAGTATTAATTACAAAGGCCTCCATGCAAAGATCAGCCGATGAAAAATGGATTCTCTGAGTTAAACATAACATTTCATGAGTTGACATGATTCTATGATGTTCAAACCCTTAAAAAAAGTGGATATGAATAAAAAAAGACAACAACTATCCAACACATAGACTTTAGTGCTTACTGCCTTGGCAGAACTCCTATCCTAAAAACTTATGCTACATAGACAACCCACTCAAAAGGTAACCTAATAAGAGAGGAAAGCCTCTATCATAAATGGGAGTTGTGTTGCACACCCATCAACCCCATCAGGTTGGAAAAAAGAAGCCCGTCCATAGCAGGGGTTAGACAAACCAGGTTATGACACATAAGGCATAAGATAAGATTCATGTTTGGTTCGGAAAGAGGTTATAGACATATTGAAATGAATGAAAGGGAATCCACTTTCATTAAGTGATTTATTAGATAATTGAAAACAGAGAATCTTAAGAATGAGAATGATCCAAATTTCAGAAGAACTATGGGAAGGGCCCAAGGGGCCATTGAGCTGTTAGAAAAAGCCTAGGCTTGCTTGATGAAATTCGAAAAGGAAGCACTCCTATAAGCATAATTATCAATCCCAAATCAACACATAGCTTACCCCAAAAATGCTATGGTGGGATAGCGGTTCACAAGATGACCACTATTTTGATTTTTTTTTATACAGTTTATTTAATTCAATGTATCATACATATAAATTCTCTAAATTCACAACATTCATAATTAAACAAAACATAAAAGTAAATACCAACAGAAGTCATGGACGACTATGAGACCCATTATAATTATTATTAATTTATTATTACTATATGCATTCATTATTATTACTACTACTATTTTTTTTATCATATTATATTATGTTTTAAACGAAGGAGACAAACAAAAAATCAGGCCCATAGGCCCAATTTCCTAGCCCTTCGTTTACTGTAACCCTAAGACCCAGCATATAAGCGCCGCATCCCCCTTAGAAGATCCAATTGCAAATGGAGGAGAGCAAAAAAAACAAACAGCTTCACAGAGAGAGAGAGTGCGTGGGAATCACAGATGGAGGGAGCATCAGGGCCTGCAGCAATGAAACAACACTGGCTTCAGGGGAAAAATCTAGTTTCTACGCATCTTCTGTGTGGCACCTGTTCTGGCTGTGATTTTGGCCACAAGACGCACCACAACAACCCAGCGCAACACAATGGCCACTGGAGGAGCAGGGGGGTGACACAACAGTGCAATAGTGCTGCTACTGCAGATGACTAACTACTGTGCCTAAAAGCCATGCTGATAGGAGGATGGGCAAAAGCCTGTACTATTCTATATATTCGGCCCAGCCCATAAATAAGTGATTCATGATCCAGCTCCCTGAATCAATTTATCTACATATCAGATGATAGATGGAAATTCACAATGAATCCCAGAAAGCTTAACTAAACCACAGCTTGAAACTCAAGCTGAAGAAAAGTTAAGTAGGATTACTTTACCTTACTCTAGATCATGGGCAGTGTAATGCAAATACAAATTTAAAAAAATCACCTCAGAAATGAGCTTCATTAATTTTGCCAATGTACATACATCAACAATGACAAGTACATGGTAAGTTAAAACACAGCAATCTGAATTTCCCAAACAAAACCATATTTTAACTTTTAAGAAGATATGCTACTGTAGTTGATAATGGAGGGTAGGCTAAACTATGTACAGCCCCACCAATTTTGGACTACATATCTCTTATCCATCAATTTGAAATTCCTATCTTCATCCCTGTATGCAAACACGCACGCACATGCATGCATGCATAAATCACTCTCACTTTCAATTTCTCTTATATCAATATCATTAGCAGTGCTAGTATGCAACAGATATCACTTTATCTATATGGTGTGTGTTAAGACAATAAATATGTTTGAACAGACAGCTTCAAAAATATGTTAGCTTGCATGAAAAATGAAAGGCAGTAACTGCAGCAGAGCATATATAAAAGCATCCCATATGCGATCAAGGTTGATTACGTCACAACGACAAAAGAGCTCCTATGTTTTATATTCAAAATTCAAAATATGCTTATCTCAGCAAAAATAGATGACATTGCTAAATAAAATATGCATTAGATGCTTTTCAGTACACAATAGCAAGTAACTTGAATCAGATCACTTTATATGATTAGGCACCTCAACAAGTAATTTTGGCTAATGTGCACCTTCACCATGGCCTGTATTAATAGGACTAGTAAAAGCATTCCCAACTAGATGATTTGAAGTAATTAATGACAATCAATAAAACAAGAAGCAGAATCTCAGCATTGAAACCAGCCGCAAAAAAAGAAACCGCAATCCAATAAAATCACACAAGTAGTTATGCTGTTATGACAAAATTTATTACAATTCAAAATTTTTAAAAATATAATACCCATTTACATCACAATACCTTCCTAGGTCAGACAGTTATTAGTAAACTTCTTAGAATAGTAGATTTAAGCCTAACTCAATTCTACAAAACCGGCTTTGTAAGGTGAGGGTTATTTTCCACTTATATACTATTTAATTGCCTAATCTCTAGTCGATGTGGGACTTGGATTTCTCTCAATACACCCCCCTCACGTCCAGCACTATTGAGTTTGGTACGTGGATAAATGATAGGTGACCCTTTTTTAATGATCTAGAATTAGCGGGACTTGAATACACCCTCTCATGCTCATGGTGCATGTATCAGTGGTAGGTGGCTCATTTTTAAGAATCTAAAATAGCTCTAATACCATCTTAGAATAGTAGATTTAAGTCTAACTCAACCCTACAAAACCGGTTTGTAAGATTAGGGTTGTTTTCCACTTATATACTATTTAATTGTCTAATCTATACTCGATGTGAGACTTGGGTTTTTCCCAATAAAACTAATAAGCCACGATTTCTCACGGGCCAAAAGAAAGGCATCAGGCACATTCCCTTCTCACTAAAACAAACCAGTGTACATCCAAAGACAGTGAACCGCATTTACATCTTCAATTCTTCAGAGATCAAAATGCATGTGCAAAAGATTAAAGAAGGAAGAAAGCGGCAACCAATATGAATTGGCAGCTACCCTTAAGACAGGGAAAAACCGAAACTACTCCATATCTATTGGTTCTATAGTATCCCGAAACTTGGCACACAACGAAATCAAAATCACTTTACAAAAACAACTGCTCGACGAAAACACGGAAATCATACAAAATTATATATACAATACATCCTATCGGGAGTGAAACGAATTCGTGAACCTAATTTCACTCAAGCAGAGAGATGTAACGTCATTTGCAGAGACGTTGGGGTATAATTGAAATCCTAGTCTGAAACAAGAGCGATGGAGAATTAACAGTTGCAACCCTAGCGTAGGGTGGTTATTCGGGAAATCAGAAACGGAAAAGGCAAAAGCAGATAGAGTTATCGAAAGACGGGAAATCGGAGAAGGAAAGGAAAAGTGGGAGAGGAGAATCTACCTGAGGCTGAGATGAGAGTGGAAGCAGCGGAGTTGGGGGAATTAGGGATTGAAGGGAGGGAGTGGGTGTTGCAGCCTTGGCGCTTTCACCGCTCTCAGTCTCGTTCGCGCACAAGCACGGATTTTCACATGAATCAATGTAGAGCGCATGCAATTGTATACTACAACCTCGAGCACTGGATTATTACTTCCCTTTTGGCTTCGACTTGTCCTAAGGTAATATGACTAATGAGTCGGTCGCCGCCATTTTTTTTTCTATTTTTTTTTTAAATTATGTTTTGTACTAACGGATTTCATATTTACACCTTCAACCGTTGTTTTTGTCATTCGTCTCGTCAATTTTTAACAAACAAATTAATATCTATAAGTTTTATTAGATTTTATGACGACATTAATATTTCATGGGAAAAAAGGCTATGCGGTATGAGTGTCGTTGATCATGGTAAGAATACTAGTTAAAAAATCAACAATATATTTTTTTTTTATTGAAAATCATACTATAAGTATTTTGAAAATAATGGTAAATTGATAGTTACATGAGGAGTGTCATCTTCTGAGTCAAAACAATAGTACGGTTACTTCATTACATCTCACGCTCCAAATTTTTTATGATTTCATCATTCTCTTTTGGGCAAAAATCCGATAGAAAATATTTCAAAATTTGAATATATAAAAATAAAAAAAAAATTATAGTAAATTTTATCTGAAAGGAAAGAGAATTCAATACGTCTTGGTTGTGAAAATCTGAATAGGACAAACCGTCCATTAGATCTCTTTGCTTCAGAACAAAACAATTCGAATTAGACTCAGCGCTATAAATGTTTTAATAATATTTGCTTTGATGTTCATGAATGGTTTAGAATATTATCAAGATTTTCGTCCTTGGACCATTGGGAATGGAATTACTTTGATGGTTTGTACAAGTATTTTTGTTTCACTAATAATTACTATTCTAGATACATCATGGCACGGGATTATTTTGACTACAAAACCAAATCAGATTATAGAGCAAGATTTGATAAGTATTAGTCAACAAATTGGAATTCATTTATCAACAGATTTTTTTCTTCCATTTGAACTTATTTCCATAATTCTTTTAGTTGCTTTAATAGGTGCAATTGTCGTGGCTCGCCAATAATAAATTTTGAGAACTAATAATAGAAATCCAAATTTAATTTTGTTAGATTTTATCACATTGATTTTCGTTGAATTTTATGTAAACGTAAAATAGTATTTATGTAGAAAATCTTTTTTTTATTGTCAATACATTATTTTGTTATAGACTTTTTATATTCTTTAGTCAATAAATTCTTGTTCATATTGAAATGAATCAAAATTGATAAGGAGTTGGTCAATGATATTCGAGCATTCACTTGTTTTGAGTGCCTTTTTATTTTCTATAGGCATCCTTGGGTTGATCACGAGCCGAAATATGGTTAGAGCCCTTATGTGTCTTGAACTTATACTGAATGCAGTTAATATAAATCTCGTAACCTTTTCTGATTTTTTTGATAGTCGACAATTAAAAGGAAATATTTTTTCAATTTTTGTTATAGCTGTTGCAGCCGCTGAAGCAGCTATCGGACCGGCTATTGTTTCCTCAATTTACCGGAATAGAAAATCAACCCGTATCAATCAATCGAATTTGTTGAATAAATAGTATTACTCATAAAAGATAAAAAAAAGTATAATTTAGAAAAGTGTGTACTATTAATCAATTCAAATTAGCATATATGATATATAACTTATGATCATGTTTGTGAAAACAAACATAAGAAATCAAAGTATCTTGGTTGTATTCTCTTTTTATTAATTAATTGATAAGTCGATTTTGATTAGCAAAATTCTGAAAAATCATTGATTCATCTGGTGTCTAATATATCTATCTAGATAGATATATTAAATTCGTTTACAAGTTTACTAGATTGAAAATGTTGAATTTTTTATGTTCAAGGATTACGATCCAATGTCACATTCAGTAAAGATTTATGATACATGTATAGGATGTACTCAATGTGTCCGAGCCTGCCCCACAGATGTATTAGAAATGATACCTTGGGACGGATGTAAAGCTAAACAAATTGCTTCTGCCCCAAGAACAGAGGATTGTGTTGGTTGTAAGAGGTGTGAATCCGCTTGTCCGACGGATTTCTTAAGTGTTAGAGTTTATTTATGGCATGAAACAACGCGAAGCATGGGTCTAGCTTATTGATACGTCTCAAAAAGAACCACACACAAGTACGTTTTTTTACCGGCAAAAACCCGCGCTCAAAAAAAAAGAAATTCTTTTTTTTGAGCGCGGGTTTTTCTAGTCTAAGTATATTTTATTTTTATCACGAATTATTTTCCTTGGTTAACAATAGTTGTAGTTTTGCCAATAATCGGGGGTTCCTTAATTTTCTTATTTCCTCATAAAGGAAATAAGGTAATTAAGTGGTATACTATTTGTATATGTTTAATCGATCTCCTTCTAATAGCCTATGCATTTTGTTATCATTTCGAATTGGATGATCCATTAATCCAATTGACAGAAAATTATAAATGGATCCATTTTTTTGACTTTTACTGGAGATTAGGAATAGATGGACTTTCTATAGGACCTGTTTTATTGACGGGATTTATCACTACTTTAGCTACGTTAGCGGCTCAGCCAGTTACTCGAGAATCAAAATTATTCTATTTCCTAATGTTAGCAATGTATAGTGGTCAAATAGGAACATTTTCTTCTCAAGACATTTTACTTTTTTTCATCATTTTGCCGGTAAAAAAACGTACTTGTGTGTGGTTCTTTTTGAGACGTATCAATAAGCTAGACCCATGCTTCGCGTTGTTTCATGCCATAAATAAACTCTAACACTTAAGAAATCCGTCGGACAAGCGGATTCACACCTCTTACAACCAACACAATCCTCTGTTCTTGGGGCAGAAGCAATTTGTTTAGCTTTACATCCGTCCCAAGGTATCATTTCTAATACATCTGTGGGGCAGGCTCGGACACATTGAGTACATCCTATACATGTATCATAAATCTTTACTGAATGTGACATTGGATCGTAATCCTTGAACATAAAAAATTCAACATTTTCAATCTAGTAAACTTGTAAACGAATTTAATATATCTATCTAGATAGATATATTAGACACCAGATGAATCAATGATTTTTCAGAATTTTGCTAATCAAAATCGACTTATCAATTAATTAATAAAAAGAGAATACAACCAAGATACTTTGATTTCTTATGTTTGTTTTCACAAACATGATCATAAGTTATATATCATATATGCTAATTTGAATTGATTAATAGTACACACTTTTCTAAATTATACTTTTTTTTATCTTTTATGAGTAATACTATTTATTCAACAAATTCGATTGATTGATACGGGTTGATTTTCTATTCCGGTAAATTGAGGAAACAATAGCCGGTCCGATAGCTGCTTCAGCGGCTGCAACAGCTATAACAAAAATTGAAAAAATATTTCCTTTTAATTGTCGACTATCAAAAAAATCAGAAAAGGTTACGAGATTTATATTAACTGCATTCAGTATAAGTTCAAGACACATAAGGGCTCTAACCATATTTCGGCTCGTGATCAACCCAAGGATGCCTATAGAAAATAAAAAGGCACTCAAAACAAGTGAATGCTCGAATATCATTGACCAACTCCTTATCAATTTTGATTCATTTCAATATGAACAAGAATTTATTGACTAAAGAATATAAAAAGTCTATAACAAAATAATGTATTGACAATAAAAAAAAGATTTTCTACATAAATACTATTTTACGTTTACATAAAATTCAACGAAAATCAATGTGATAAAATCTAACAAAATTAAATTTGGATTTCTATTATTAGTTCTCAAAATTTATTATTGGCGAGCCACGACAATTGCACCTATTAAAGCAACTAAAAGAATTATGGAAATAAGTTCAAATGGAAGAAAAAAATCTGTTGATAAATGAATTCCAATTTGTTGACGACTAATACTTATCAAATCTTGCTCTATAATCTGATTTGGTTTTGTCAAAATAATCCCGTGCCATGATGTATCTAGAATAGTAATTATTAGTGAAACAAAAATACTTGTACAAACCATCAAAGTAATTCCATTCCCAATGGTCCAAGGACGAAAATCTTGATAATATTCTAAACCATTCATGAACATCAAAGCAAATATTATTAAAACATTTATAGCGCCCTAATAATAATAAGAAGAATAAGAATAAGAATAAGAATAAGAATAAAATATTAACTATTTTTCATCATTTTAATTGTGGTTTATTTGCTTTTGGAATAAATAGAGGAAAGATAATAGTTGATATTCATATTATTTAATTGGTTGGTTGTTTGTTCGTCATAAATTTCATAATTTGGAAAGTTATTCACTTACTTCTTAAGGTAGTAGTTCATATTAACATAATGTATCATTGTGTTGACATACATGTATTGTCTCATGTTTAGAGTGATTAAATTGCATTAAATTACTGACATGTGTCTTGGATTAATCATGTTGGACCATCTCTTGTAATAGGTTACCCTTGACAATAGGTCTAAATTCAAGTAATTTGGTATTTTCTAAATTAGATCATGACTTTGTAACTTAAATGTTACACTTGCTCCGAGTCACTTTGTTGTCGAAGTTAATGTTTTATGCATCTTGATTCTTGAATTCTAAATTAATAGTTAATGTTTTTATTATTTCCCTCAAACATTGAGTGTCCTTAGTTACTTCATCTTAGTATATTACATGTTTCAAATTAAAGTGTTGATATAAATGTCACTTTCTCTCTCAAAACTTTATGTGAATAGATTGACCTAAAAAAGCCTATCACTCGCTCCTATAATGTATAACAACTTTTTTACTTCTATTATTTACAATTCTTCATTACTAAATATACTCCAGTTTTCTTTAATAATTTTACTTGATCACCCTCTCTTATTACCCATATTTTGTCGTTCCCTTTCTTTGATTTCTTTTTCTATAGTTTTGCATTCATTGACATTCTTTGAGAAAAGGGAACTCTCTGCCTCATGCATACTTTGTAAGACCCGCTTCTTTTTTTCCGCCTTCCCCTCAACACTGTCATTTTCTCCTCACTTCCTTTCCTTGGTTTCAAATTCTTAAACTTCCTGGTGGTGATTGTTGTGGTTGAAGGTGTGGAGTAGAGACATGAGGAGCTA